CAGAATCAGGGTAAAAGACTGACATCCCTGCTGTAAACCCGGTGACGCTTAGTCAGCTTTTTACAATGCTATCGCGTTATCCGGTTCCACATATGCATTCTTACTGCCCAAGAAGGGAAGGAAGCATGGCAGAGTCTTCCAGGGGAGGCCAGAAGCCAGGGAAGGCAGAGGCAGGGGGCAGTATTGACGCCCCAGGGACTCAGAAAGGAGAGCGGACACGGAGACAGGGAAGAGAGGAAACAGGCCCAGAGATGTAGAATTAATGAGTGCGGGCTTTGCGGCACCTTCCCTGGTTTTCGCCTTTTAAAGACTCTAACATGAAAGTGCATAGAACGCTCGGGGGAGCACGGAAGAAGGGAGGCTGAAGGGAGATGAGAAGGGAAGAGAATCGTCTGAAAGACAGGCCACTAGAAAATGCCCAAGCGCTACCTATTACTATGTGTGCTAATTTAAAAAAAATATTTTAAAAATAAAATAATGCCATTTGGGATTATTTTTATACATCCTGAGATTTCTGTGCAGAGAGAGACGTATTACAACAGATCTCAGAGAAAAATTCTAGGACTTATGTTACGTTCCTTGAATTAGAAGAAGCTTACTTTGCATGTTCCTAAAAATCTCTTCAACTGGGGGTTGTGTTGGGATAGATTGTATGACATCAATGGTATCCTGAGTAAAACAGAATAATGTATTTCTTGAAATGCAAGAAAAGTCTTGTTTGACTGGCATGAACATATGACTCAACGCACATCCGTTTTCTCACTAGACACGTAACTTCATCAGTAGCTGTTTATTAGCGCCTGCCATTCACAAGGAACCAGCGTAGGTGCTGCTGGAGGTAAAGATCACTTATAATTCGTGTCATAAGCGCACGCTTAACTATCGACCCAATGTTGAGTTTCATTCTGTTTTGCTTGCAATGGCTCTTGGTGATTTAAATAGGAAAGGTCTCTGTCTTCACAGAGCCCATCTTCTTGTAGCACAAGTTTAAAAATGTAAGCAAAATATTCAGACATAATGCGACAGTTTTAAAATATTGGTTGGCAGGATATTTACATCAAAAGAAGCTACAAGTTCTGTTGCTAATTATTTCTTCTGACATTTTCTGAATTGTCTCCATGGCCCAGAGCCTTGTACATTCCCAAAACTATTTCACTACCAAAAACTCCACAAAACTCTCCTAAGAAGTCTCTCTGGAAACCAATGCACCTCCCCCCATTGCTACATTAACTTTCAGTTACTGGGCATCTGGGAGAGGGGCACACTGCCAGTGCCCCCCTAACCTAAGCCTGAGAACCAAGCATTGAGTAACAATGTATCTCTTCCTGTTGTATGGCCCACTATCACATTTCTGATATAAGAACACGTGTGGATTGCACGGAATCTTTTCGAGTAAGGCAATTGTGAATAACATGTGACTTAGGAAAGGGCCTTTTGTCATAAAAGATACAGAATAACTTAGCTGTCTTATGTAAACCTACACTGTCCTTGCAAGGTTGTCTGCAATTTTTCATTGTGTGAAAATACCCCTTGCATAAAACTGTATGATCTTAGCCATTTTAAGTATACGATTCTGTGACATTATACGTAGCCCCATTCTTTTCAGCCATCGCCACCATCTATCTCCAGATTTTTCATTACCCACTCCTTCTCTTATTTCTGTCACATGCCACTTTCTCACACGTCTTTTTGGGTTTTTTTTGGGACCTGTCACTTTATCCAGGGATGTCTGCACGGCCATACGTTTGAAACTGTCCACTGGAGTCCTATGGGTTCACTTTTGAGCTCACAACTGAAAGTGATTACTATCCAGGGTACAAGTTTTCTGCCTTCTTGGATAATCTTATTCACGTTTTTATTTTAATGACATCATAGATATAACTGTCTTCTTGATTTCTTCTCAGATAACTGACTTTTTCCCCGCTTTGGAACTCAACCAATTTTCTTGCAAATTTTCAGAATATTCTATCCAGCAGGCCAGCTGGGCCTCTCGGCTCACACCTATGCTTCCTGTTTTTTGTTTGTTTGTTTTGTTTTTTTCTATGCCATATAAGCTTCTCCTTTTACCAGCCCCCGGTTCATGTCATGGTTTACATGATATTATTGGAAGAAACAGGGAAAAGACAAAACCCATAACATACTTCTGGCCTTTGAATCTCACCTTTGGACTATACACAAGTGATTATTCAATAGAATTTCTTATACAGGATCTGGGCCCAGTCAATTCCACCTCCTCCCTAAGCCATATTTCCTATCTGACAGTAATGTTCTTATTATGGTTTTGGTGGAAGTCAAGGGAATGAGGAGATGTGGCTTTCACCTAACTGTAAGCTTGAGCAAAACCTGACATTTTCCAACCCCGCCTGTCATTGGAAACTATAATACTATATCCAAAGGCCAGACAAAACTTTGAAAGTGGTGGATGAGATACCTCCTCTACATCAAGCAAAGAAACATGAACCTGGGATGCTGGTGTGAACCAGAGATGGTCTGACCTTTCCAAGGGTTCAGCAGGGGCACCCAAGCCTTTTCTCCTGCTTGCTTTAATGCGGTTTTCTTCTGAGTTTTGGTGTATGTCATACAAACAAAAATCATGCATAATATGATATTTTCCCCTTTGGACTATAACCTCCAGGTGAGAGTCAATATTATTGAATGAGTCATTTCAACACAGGAATGTTGCATAGCTAGCCTTGTGACCTTTTGAGCATGAGTTGTCATTTTGTAGGATGATGGGGTTCAGAACAAATTGGATTTCTCAAGAACACAGTAGCTGTTTCTTTCTCCTGGTATAAATAAGAACACTTGCTTAACTTGCATGAGATAGCATTACGGAATGCATGCCCCAACCTCTAGACTCCCCAACTTCCACCAGCTGTATGGTCTGACCACTTATAAGTCAAAGTCCCCAAACTTGAAAACTCCAACGACCTAAAATAGTATTTTTGTGTAAGGTTATATTCACAGAGAAATATGACATGGATTTTAAGATCTCCTATATCCTGGGGCCCTGCCAAAGGGCTTGTAGGTGACCCATGAGCAGTATATATATATTTTTTTTCAGAAATGCCATGCAATGTATTTTGGTCACCTTTCCTCCCCTAACTCCTCCCAGACCAGTCCCCATCCCCCAGCCCACCCCCAACTGTAAGTCTGCCCTTTTAAAAAATTTAACTAATAGAGTCCAATTTGTGCCGTCGACATACTCCTAGGTGCAGGGTCATCCACCGGAGACCGGTTGAACCTGGAGCTGCGCACCATTGAAGAAAACTGGACCTCTGACATCCAGAAGTTTTATCTCAAGTCAATGGCTCCTAGGTAAGTTTGGGATCTACCACCCTTCTATCCCGGGGTTTTGTTCATGTGTGGAGGCCAAAGGTTGAGAGTAGGTGTCTTTCTCTTTCATTTTCCACCTCATTTTTTGAGACAGGTGTGTTCCGTGAACTTGGAGTTCACTGATTAGCTGGACTGGCTGGTGATGAGCCCTTAGTCTCCTAGTCGCCTAGATCACGGGTGTGAACCCCTGTGCCTCCAGTCACCTAGATCATGGGTGTGAACCCCTATGCCTCCAGTCACCTAGACAATGGGTGTGAACCCCTGTGCCTCCAGTCACCTAGATCATGGGTGTGAACCCCTGTGCCTCCAGTCACCTAGATCACGGGTGTGAACCCCTGTGCCTCCAGTCACCTAGATCACGGGTGTGAACCCCTGTGCCTGACCTTTATATGGAGCTGTGCTGGGCATCCAAATTCACATCTGCATGCTCTGGGCAGAATCACTTCACACAACAAGCTCTTTCCCCAACCCTATATTGTTAGATTTTGATACAATGAATTTGCACATTTTTTGTTTAACATATTCCTGCACATATTTTAAGGGGATTAATTAATATTGTTAAATAATTATATTTTAATTTAATATTAATAAGTATGCATATTTATGGGGTATAGTATGATGTGGCATGAATAATAAAAACCCAAATACAGATACTGGGGTTTAAGCTGAAGATCAGAAAAGCAAAGCAGTCTAGCCACTGGAGAGATCTTACCTCTAACAAGGCTGGGGACATGCTGTCCTTAACGTGACTGGAGACTAATTGCCCAAGACTGAATACTGAATGTCCTGCTTCCTGCTTCCTATGTTATACACCTCTCTAGAGCTGGGATTAAAGGCATGAGCTCTGTTTCTCTTTCAGTCTGATTCACTCTCACGCAGCCCTGGGTGGCCTTGAACTCACAGAGATCTGTCTGCCTCTGTCTCCTGAGTCCTGGAATTAAAGGTATGCGGCACCACTGCCTTTCCTCTGTGGCTGTGGCTAGCTTTGCATTCTGATCTCCAGGCAAGCTTTTTTAGATCATGAACAATGTATCACCACAGTATGATAATTAGATACACATATACAATTTATAATCATCAAACCAGAGTGATTAGCATTTCCATTTCCCTAAACATCTGCATTTTTTATTAGTGCATGATAATTGTGTTATTTGTAAGGTATAATAACTTTGATACATGTATGCAGCAGGTGCTGGTCACATTTTCTAATTGTTTACCTCAGGTGTAAATGAATACATTTGTATACCCCATGATTTTGCTTTCCCATGAGTACTTGTCTAATCTGAAGATAACCCTTACATCACTCTAATCTTACTCTTTTGGGTTTTTTGTTTGTTTGTTTCTGCCTAGCTGAGCTGGTCAGGACATAGAATAATTCTCCATGACCACACCCATCCCATCTCCTCCCAGATCTGCCCCACCTCCCTACCTCTTCTCAACTTTGTATCTTCTTATTGTTGTTACTTAATAACCTGTTGGCAACGACTTGTATTGTCAATATATTTGCATGTTTCTATTTCTCCTTTTTCAAATAGACTTATTTGTTTTGAGAAAGGGACTTGTGTAGGAGAGTCTGATTTCCAACTCAATATGTAGCTAAATATGACCTTGAAATTCTGCTCTTCCAGCCTCCAAAATACTAGGGTTAGGTGTGACATCTAGTTTGCCTGGTGCTGGGGATTGAACCCAGGACCTTGTGCATGCCAGGCAAGTACTCTACCAATTGAGCTACATGACCAGCTCTTAAGGGCTCTTTCCTAAATGTTAGAACTGTAACTTAAATGTCAAACATAATTTGTCTGCAGTGCACTCTCGTTTTCTGTATCTCTGCTTTGCTTTATTAGTTTTTGTTTAAGGTTTGTGCGTGCTAATTAGCTTAAGCCATTGGCCATATGGGTTCTTGGTTTTAATTAAACTTTCCCATTGCCGCAGCAACGACAACAAGCTTCTTCCCTGGATGATAGCGAATCCACTATTTTTTTTTAATTAGTAAATGAGTTTGGTAAGGTTACAGAATACCAGATCAATTTAAAATATCAACTCTGTTTTGATACATTGTCACTGAGCAGTTCAAAATGAAATCAAGATAAACACATCTACAATGACAACAAGATGAATAAAAGTATTTAGGTATAAACAATATCAGGTATAAACAACTGAAAAACTTGGTCCCTGAAAACTATCAAATGTATTTGAAATAAGTTAGATGAGACATAAATAAATGGAGGCTCCAAAAACTCAAGACTGATCACATGACCAATGCCCCACAGACTTAGCACAGCTTTCCTTACAAAACTGCAGCTAGCCCATCTGTGAAGGCTGGCAAACGGATCCTTAAACCCACGTGTGAAGGAACCAGGAGAGGCAAGAAGGAACCAAATTGACCTTGAAAAAGAGCGAGTTCGAGAACTCCCTTCTCTTGGAGCTTATAGTGTCGTCATAGTAATGGAGATGGTGTCATTCTGGCGTTACTAGTTGGCCAGAATCTGACTCCTGGTGTTTTCCATGTGGTCTCCTCCTTACAGCAGTCTGACCATGACTTCAAAGCTGCCTGGTGGCAAATCTCAGGGCGTGACACATGTATTGCATTAAATACGGCCACTGTTATCACATGCTATATAGAGACTGCTTATGTAACTGGAGTTTGCAACCAGCGCCTACCGTCCATACGGACAAACTCTGCAGCAGTTAAAAGCCCAGATCTCTGCACTCTGGAGCTCCCTCTCCCCAAGAACATGGCCTGTTCCCCTCCCCTTTGGGTGGTGAGGGCCCTCTATGCCAAACACTGCCATCTTGTGGCCTCCAGTGTTCGCCATGGACGGCCCAAAGCACACAAATCAATGGGGTGGAGTTGAGCCTTTATTAATAAGCCTTGATGTTATGGCCATTTGATTTCTGACAAGGATGTCCTGGCAGTTTGATGGGGAAAGGAAAATCTTTTCAAGAAATAATGATAGAAAAACATCAAGACTCGTATGCCACACACAAAAGTCCACTCCAAAGTGGTCATGACTCTAAATATAGAAGGATAAAGACAAAAAAAAAAAATCCTAGTAGAAAGCAAGAGTAAATCTGAGTGGCCTTGTGATTTGTTTTTATAAGACACTAGAGATAAAGGAGGAAATGGTAAATTAAATACCAGCAAAATGTGTGAGCTAAAATTAACACCACGGGGGAAGTAAGACGTGCATAGAGCCGAGGAAAATACTTCTTTTGCTTGCACTTGCTTATTTGCATGGTGGGATAATTTTCTTGCAAAGAGTACCTTACTGTATGTGTATTTACTTCTCGGAATTTTTTTCTTAAAGAGATGAAGCCTATCTTTTCCACATGATTTTCTTTTCCTTTTTTTTTTTTTTTTAGTATTTTATTTATTTACTGTGTATACAGTCTTCTGCCGGCATGCCAGCGGAGGGCACCAGATCGAATTCAAGGTAGTTTGTGAGCCACCATGTGGTTGCCGGGAATTGAACTCAGGACCTCCAGAAGAACAGTTAGTGCTCTTAACCACTGAGCCATCTCTCCAGCCCTTCTTTTCCTTTTTTCTTTGTTGTGTGTTTATTATTTAAAACAATTTTTTGAGACAGGGTTTCTCTGTATTGTTTTGGAGGCTGTCCTGGAACTCACACTGTAGACCAGGCTGGCCTTGAACTCACAGAGATCCACCTGCCTCTGCCTCCCGAGTGCTGGGATTAAAGGCATGTGCCACCAACGCTCATCTATTTAAAACAATTTTTAACTTTAAATATATTTTAACATATTCTCCCCCAAGTCCTTCCAGATCCTCTCTCCCTTCCTACCCACCCAAATTTAAGCTCTTTCTCAAAAAAATTTAAAAATCCAATACAAAAAATCCCCCCAATCCAAGAAAACATAATAAAATTTCACCCAAAAAGAAAATAAAGCCCACCAAACTATAACCAAATAAAAGCACATGCACATACAAAAAAAAACAAAAACAAATAAACAAACTATGGAGACTGTTACATGTTGTTCAGCTTCTCCTGAAGATGTTTTCTCCTTTTTGTCCTGTTCTGTGTAGCTCCCAATTCTTTCTCTCTCTCTCTCTCTCTCTCTCTCTCTCTCTCTCTCTCTCTCTCTCTCTCTCTCTCTCTCTCTCTCTCTCTCTCTCTCTCTCTCTCTCTCTCTGGTCTGTAACTCACAGAGATATCTTCCTGTCTCTGCCTCTGCCTCCCAGTCCTGGGGTTTCTAATGCTTGTGCCACCACACCTGGTTTCTTGGTTTTGTTTTTCTTATCTACTAAATTTCTTCTTCCAATTGATCCTCAGACTGTGACTTCCCCCTCAAAGACAGAAGGAAGGAAGTCCTCCAGTCTTCTGACCTATGTAGGTATAAAGCAAAAGTGTTGTTCACTTGACCAAGGAGAATCCTTCATCCCACCTGTGCTCCATCCCAGATGGTTCTCTTGCGTGACCAAGGGCTGAGAGATCTGCTCTGGGAAGCAGGGACACGGGTTGTAGTGGCAGTTGTCTGAAGAGAGCTGAAGATACTGGTCCCTTGGAGGACCACAGTCATCTGGGATGTCTTGCTTTGTCTGAGTCTCTGACCTTGCTACTTGCACACAGGTTGGTTCAGAGTCTGACCACACACCCAGCACTATCTGGGCATTCTGTCTGTAACCTCTGAGAGGATGAAGCAAGCCTCTCTAAGATTAGTCTGCCTTCTCCCTAAAAGATCCTGTTAAGTGCTATAGTTTCACAAGTGGCCAGATGGTTCTGCCAGCTACTGGGGTCTTTCCTGATACTCATGCTTTCACTTAAGCTCAATGTACTTAAGCTTAAGGTACTTTGAAAATCTGTGTTAAATGTTAGTGGCTTTATGCAGTACTTAAAGTAAAGCTTGGGAGAACATATATTTCATGATACACTATTGTATGCCTAGAAATTTATACAGTAAACATAGACACCCATCATTCATCTTTTTTATCTATTGACATATGGCTTTGTATGCTTTATTAGAACTGCTTAGGACAAAATTAAAAGTGAAGTATTGATGGAATAAAGACCAAAGAACAGGAAGCAAAGAACAAACACAGTCAACATTGGAAGAGATCAGAGGATTCAACTTAGAAGAAATTTAATTGGTAAAGAAAGAACCATGTGTTCAGATCATTGGCCTTTCAGGGATAGTTCATAGTTCTCTGTGCCGGGTACTGGGGTTAGACAGCAGAAGGTCAATAAAGCATTGTCTAGGCCTATCTCAGGGACCACATTATTGAGTGGGGGGTTGGGGGGGTAATACTTGTCCTCCACAGTATTACAATACACTATACAATGGGTCAATAGTGACATCTCACATTGCATGTCCGTCTGGAGCCCAGAATGTGACCTCCCTTGGCTATAAGGTGTTGGCAAACATACACACTTCAGAAGAGACCATACATGGTTGGTCTGAGTTCTAATGACTTGCCCATATAGCAAGAGAAGGAAACATGGGTGTACTCAAAGGCCGTGGGAAGATGGAAGCAGACACGAGGGTGATATGTTAAGATGTGTGTATTGAGCAGGGTTATCTAGAGAAATGGAGAACTGTTAAGAGTGGCTTACAGGCTGTGGTCCAGCTAATCCAACAATGGCTGTCTCCTAGGGCAAAATCCAATCTTCCAGTAGTTACCTGTTCAGTCCATTGCGCTGGATGTCTCGTCAGAATCCTGAAGAAGCAGGCTTTAATGCCAGCAAGTCAAGACTAAGGCGAGCACGCAAAGACCAGGGTTTCTTTCCTACTTGTCCTCTATGAAGGCTGCTGTGAGACAGAGGGAGGGTCTTCCAACCCTCACACGATCCCTCACAGGTGTGCCCAGCAACTTGGATTTTTAGTGAATTCAGATGTAGTCAAGTTGGCATTGAAGAGCAGTCATCACAGTGTAGAATGGTTAAGGGCTGTCTGGAACATCCGGGACTCGGGAACAAGGGAAAAGCTCTTCTAAAGCCTTGAGTTCAGCTTTCGAGTCCCCAGAACTAGATAGTAACTGTTCTAATCATTCAGTTTGTGTCTGGCTTGAATTCAGCCATTGGCACTGGAAAACGTGGCTCCCACTGTTGCTTTCTACTGAGGCTAGGAGGCACCTGGGTTAGACAACAGGAAAGAAAGCCACAAAAGAGATGAAGCGAGTTACTAATGTGCCCCATGGTGGAGAACCTGTCAAATCTTTTCCAGACCCTGCAGGGTCTTTTCTGGTGCTTAATTACTTTCATCCTACTTTGGATATTTCTCCTTCGGTGTCCACTGTCTTTGTTACAAAAGAAACTGTCACTATCAGGGGCATGATGGCCTCTGTAAAATACCAGGGGACTGGTTCTCAGTTGACCCTTCACCACTACTTCAATCATTACCAGCAGGGCATTGGTGGCGCACGCCTTTAATCCCAGCACTTGGGAGGCAGAGGCAGGTGGATCTCAGTGAGTTCGAGGCCAGCCTGGTCTACAAAAGCTAGTTCCAGGACAGCCTCCAAAGCCACAGAGAAACCCTGTCTCGAAAAACCAAAAAACCAAAACAAAAACAAAAAAAAAACAAAACTAGGGTCCAGATTGCGAGGGACATTCCCTTGCTACCTCCTAAGAGCATCCATGTCTCTGAGCTGAGACCATAGACAGAGACGGGATGTCAACCTTTAAAAGCTGGTGTAAGTAACCACGATGACCCTGAGCCACAGGGACCATCTTCCCTACCCAAGCACACCGTCATTACATAGTTGAACAGTGTTGATACTCCTTAGTGTTGGGTTGACACTGAAAGTCTATGCATTCCTAGTTATGTATTTGAAGACTGTCTTGGCTTACTCTTCATCAGCAGGGAACTTGTGAAAACTCAAGAACACCCATTGTCATTTCCAGTTGTTCTCGCTGGGAACTAAGCAAGAAAACCAGTCATGGAATAAGAGCCCAATTAGTGTGTTTCTAGTTCCTGAATGATGACAGACATACTAGACAGATTTACTCCCTTGTATTCCTTCCCATGAGTTCTGTAGCACTGGACTGAAAGAAAACATTCACGGTTTTCTGAGAATATGATTTACCTTATTGCCTGGATGAGATTTTTCACTCCAGTAGACTGTTGCATATGCTTTCGTTTAAAATTGCCCGACACAGATGTGGAGCAATGTGGTGCTTCAAAATGTCTTGTGTATTCTCAAGCATTTGAATACTTGGGCCCTAGTTAGTCAGCCCTGTGTGGGTGGGTTTAGGAGGTGTGGCCTTGCTGGAGGAAGTGCATCATCGGGGGGTGGGGCTCTGAGGTTTCAAAGGGCTGGTACTGTTCCTCTTTGCTTCCGATTTGCAGGTACGGTCTCTTCTTTGCTTCCGATTCGCAGGTCAAGATGTGAAGTCCCGACAGCTGCTTTGCCTGGCATGCCTTCCACACCCTCCTGTCGGTGTATTTCACCACCGATGGGGAGGAACTGTTATCCATCTGGGATGGTGAGCTTTGAACGAATTGCTTCCGTCTACAAGTCCTTCTTGTTGTGTTAGTTAATGGGCGGGGGGGGGGGATGGGGATGGGAGTGTCCTTCTGTACATATGTTTCTCTTATTGGCTGATGAATGAGTAAAACACTTTTTGGCCAGTAACCAGGCAAGACGTATAGGTGGGACTACTAGAAGAGGAGAATTCTGGGGAGAGAAGACAGAGAGAGGAGCCACCAGAGAGACGCCATGTAGTTGCTGGGAGGATAGGACGCTGGGCATTCTCCGGTAAGATGAGGCCATGTAGGAATACATAGCTTAGTAGTTATGGGTTAATTAAGAGAGAGCTAGCCAGCCAGGCATTGGTGGCGCACGCCTTTAATCCCAGCGCTCGGGAGGCAGAGGCGGGCAGATCTCTGTGAGTTTGAGGGCAGCTCTGGTCTACAGAGTGAGTTCCAGGACAGCCTCCAAAACAATACAGAGAAACCCTGTCTCGAAAAAAAAAAAAAAAAACGAGAGAGAGACAGAGACAGAGACAGAGAGACAGCGCTAGCCAGTGAGAAGCCCAAGCTATCGGCCAAACAGTTTCTGATTAATATAAGCTTCAGTGTGTTTTTTGGGGAGGACTGAAGGGTGGCAGGACTAGGCAGAACAGAAACTCCGTCCACAGGTGTTTCGTCAAAACTATTGAAAAGTAACAAAAACAGGCATTGAGTTCATTTTAGACCATTTCCCCTTACTTCCCCCTTGGCCATTGGTGTAGTGCCATGCATATACAAAATGAGTGCATAGTTCACTGTGTACACGGGATGGAACCTTGTCAAACCAACAGGATGGAGCTTGGACCTGGATGGCCCTCGCTATGCCAGACACCATACAGACAGAAACCCACCGCTAAAAAACTCACAGGAGTTCTACTTTATCTATTTTTAAACTTGGGGGAGAGATTTTTCGATATGCCTGAGGTCACGCAGCCAGAAAAAAAAAATAATGGACTTTAAACTTGAGTTGATAAAATGTTGAGGCTCACCTGGTTTTCATTGTAAGAAAAAGCAGCATTTGACAAAAAAAATCCTCATCAAATGAAATTGTTCAAAAGGACCAGACAGAATCCAAGGTACTGCAGGCCTACAGTGAAGGACCCACAAAATGAGGACAGACGGAGTATGACATGTGTCTAGTAAGGGAGAGAGGAGGGGAAGTGCAGTAGAGAGGACCAGGGGTAGCTGGCTGAGTGGCTCTCCTACCTTGCCTTTTTCCCAGGGATCATGAGTTGGGGTGTTTCAGGTGGTCCGTTCTAACAACGAGGAACGAGGCCTCTGGGTCCATTACAAACACAGTACCTCCCGTCTGCTAACTGTCTGTCTCCGAGTGTAAGGGACAGAAGAGTCAGGAGACAGTAATCTTCACAACCTCTCGTTGCCGGGGTTATGCTGGACAAGATCTGAGCTCACGAGTCGTCATTTCCTACCTCTGAAGTGTCACTAACCCCAAGTCTCATAGTTCTTCACGTGTTGGGAATACAAATGAATACACATATATGTGTGTTAATTACATGGCAAAAACAAAAATATGATGGGTGTTTCTACAACGAACTGATAAAGATACCGCTGTTCTTCCAGGTCTAAAGTTGTAAGAAAGACGGGGTACCCAAAAAAACCCATGAGATAATTTGGAGTTGAGTTTGGCCTGGCTGCTCTTGGGTGTGATTTTTTGGAAAGACTTGATCAATGTCTTTTCTAATCATCAAGGAAACAGATCATTGTCGGTCTAGGTTGCATTTAACACCTCCACAGTCAAAATGAGGAGTTTCGCAGGAGGCAATGATTTACTAGTGACAAGCAAGAGTAAGAGGGTTGCTGACCAGGTTTTTGAAGTTGACAGCAGAAGACATACAGGCAAACAACCACGCTCTTCGTAGAAACATCGTGCAAGCAATTTATGTGGGAAGAAAATAATAGCTAAGGCAGAAAAGAAACAAGGACAACTCAACCAACAATAGGTGCCCTGTGGCGTCACCAAAGCCGGAATGGAGATTATCTGCCGGGGCTTCCGGTTGGTCAGCTCTCCATAACTACATGGACATAAAGACAAGTCTGCTTAGTGGGACCAGGTCAGGGAATTTATGAGCTAGCATAAACGAATAAAGAAGCCAAGCAGAACACGATATAATTGTTTCTACTTCCCGTCTAACCGCCTTCTCAAACTTACATTTGGTCATAAATAATGAAACAAACAATATGAATTGCACACATATTATGCAGATTTGAAATGCAAACTCCCATTGACATTTTACCCTGGAAAGTTTTGAAGCTGTGGTGTTGGGTCTCCCTCTGCAGAAATGATCCCGCTGCAGAGAGGGCACCAGCTTCCCCCCGTTCCCCACCCACCTGAAGTACAGGAATTATTTCTTCCTGAACTCTCTTAAGTAGTTTCAGCTTCCACAGATTGCTAAGACATAGCGAGGTACGTACGGAATGTTTTCAGTTCTTGTGCTGAGGGACATTTCAAATTTTTTTTTTTTTGTCTTGGGGAATAGAGTCTTGTTTGGGGCCAGGAGAGCATCGTGTCATACATCTCAAACAGGGCAGTTTGCTTCAGTCCAAACACTGGTAGGAAGGAGTCCTTTTCACATGAGAAATGTGCAACAAACTTTGGCAAGTAGATACTATGTTTTTTTTTTTTGGTTTTATGAGACAGGGTTTCATTGTTTTGGAGGCTGTCGGTCCAGCCCAGCCTCAAACTCACAGAGATCTGCCTGCCTCTGCCTGCCTCTGCCTCCCGAGTGCTGGGATTAAAGGCGTTCACCACCACCGCCTGGCAAGTAGATACTATTCAACTTCAGTTCCCAGCGCACACATGGTGGCACACAACTCTCTGCTGCCCTCTTCTGGCGTCTGTGGGCACTGCATGCATGTGCTGCGCATAAATGCGCTCATATTCATAAAACAACAATATGTCCTGACCACTGCTTCTTCTCTGAAGCGTCACTGGGACCCTGCCTAGCATCTATCTATGTACTTATCGACTTAACAGAAACTACTTTATACTCAGTCCCAATGTGCTACACCTTTTTAAAATAATACTTTAATCCCATCTTCAAAATTCGTGTACACAGTGTGTTTGATATGTCCACCCTATAGAATACCTCCCTCCAACTCTCCCTAGGACCCGCTCCCCAACTTATATCCCTCCCTATTTTGTATATTTTTTTCCTTGCCTGCCGCTTTGGTTTTTCCCCGCCAGCTGCCTGGGCTCTGCCACAGTTGCAGTCCCCAAATAACACACAGGACACTATATTAATTATAAAGCTGTAGGCCGTTTGCTTGGTTTCTTACTGGCTAGCTGTGACTTAAGTATTTAACCTATAATTGTTAATCTAAGTATTTCTCTTACCGGAGCCTCTTATTCCTCTGGAGGCTACATCGTGACTACCTGCGTCTCTCTTTCCCAGAATCCTCCTCCACTCCTAGTCCCACCTATCTTGCTTCCCTATTGGCCACCAGTGCTTTATTGGCATATACACAGGACTTCCCCATCACTATTTTTAATTAATGCCTTGGGTCCAGTTAGTGCTATCAAATGCATATGAGTGTGAGGCCTCTCTTTGGAGCATGGGAAACCTACCAGTGACCAGATCTCCCCACTTCAAAGAGGCCCTCCCTCCACCAGCAGTCATGAACTACCAATAGCTCTTCTGCTAGAGTTTGGGGCTTTGGGAGAATATTCACGGTCACTAATTACCAGCACTTTGACAAGTTATGGGTCTCGACTTTAACTGTTGCCCATTGTAAAGAGACCTTTCTCTGACCAAAGCTGAGAGCACCACAAGTCTACAGACACAGACATAATATTCCAAAGTCATGACCAATTAGTGACCTCCCCAGTAACTTCCTTCCCAGGACCTATGATCTACAGAGTGTAACATTTGAATGTTACACTCCAAATATATTGATTCTCAGTTGTATGGATACCATAAAATAAAGTAGGCTTCAAAGTAAATGAAGGCAACTACAAAACTGTTCAAATGTGATAAGGTTTGTCTTTTCCTTTCTCCTCACCACTCATGATCCCCCCCCCCTTACACCTTTCTTCCTTTTCTCACTGAGGGATTCGCAGATTCCTTGCACTGAAACACCCTTCTATTTGCTATATCTGTAACTGAACTCACTCTCACCTATTCTAAATATTGGAATTTTCATTTGCTTCCATTTGTTTTAGAAATAGGCTTGACTTACCCATGCATTTGCTTTGGAAGGTGAACATAGCCAAGGTTGGGAATATTCCAATCAGCTCTTCTGCTGGAGAAGTTTTATGGCAGCTTGACACAGGCTGAAGTCAGCTGAGAGGGAGGAAGAAATCTAAGTTTAAAATATGTACCCATGAGATCAGGGTGTAGGCAAGCCTGTAGGGCATTTTCTTAATTGGTGACTGATAGGGTAGGGCCCATTCCATCATGGGTGGGGCCATCCCTGGGCTGGTGGTCATGTGTTCTATAACAAAGCAGGCTGAGCAAGCCATGAGGAGCACAGCAGTGAGCAGCTCCCCTCCAGGGCTTCTGCATCAACTCCTGCCTCCAGGTTCCTGCCCAGTTTGAGTGTCTGTCCTGACTTCCTTCGAAAATGAATGGTCGCCGGGCGTTGGTGGCGCACGCCTTTAATCCCAGCACTTGGGAGACAGAGGCAGGCGGATCTCTGTGAGTTCGAGACCAGCCTGGACTACCAAGCGAGTTCCAGGACAGCCTCCAAAGCCACAGAGAAACCCTGTCTCGAAAAAAAAAAACCAAAAAAGAAAAAAAGAAAAAAACAGAAAATGAACGGTCATATGGAAGTGTGAGCCACATAAACCCTTCCCTCCCCAACTTGATTTCGGTTGTGTCGCTTCATCGTAGCAACAGAAACCATGACCAAGGCAGGCCTAGAGACGATGCTTGCACGATGCTTGGCTGTGGGAAACACAGTTGATCGACAGCAGTTGATGTGTTGGTTATACAGGCTTTCCCTACCTGTATAACCTCCCTATCACAGATGTGTTTCTTTTGAAAATGTGATACGTGGTCACATTCCTGTAATCCCAGCACTTGGAAGACAGAGGCAGGAAGAGGAGCAAAAATTCAAGGTTATCCTTGCCAACAAATGAGTTTGAAGCCATCCTGTGCTACTTGAGACCCTACCTAAAAAAAATAAGTTTAAGAATTAGTAATGGGGGCTGGAGAGATTGCTCACAGGTTAAGAGCACTGCCTGTTTTTCCAGAGGACCTAAGTTCAATTCCCAGCAACTACATAGTGGCTTGAAACCATCTGTAATGGCGTCCGCCCATAGGACACTATATGCATACATAATAAATTTTTTTAAAAAATTAGTAATACCAATTCTTAATATATTCTCACATTTATAAATATATAAATATTTATTAAAGTGGAGTTATTAAAGGGGATTTATTAAAGCAACTTAAAGGCTGTGGTCCAGCTAGCCTAACGGCTGTCTACCAATGGAAAGTTCAAGAGTCTATGAGGCTGGATGTCTCAGCTGGTCTTTGGTGTGTGCCAGAATCCTTAGGTTCTGATACCAGTGAAGGAACGGACTTGCCAGTGAGAGCAAGGGCGAGCCAGAAAAGAGTAAGCACTTTCTTCTTCCATGCCCTTTATCTAGGCTGCCACTAGAAGGTGGGGTCCAGATTTAAGGTAGATCTTCCCACAACAAACCATCCAGATTAAAGGCGGGTCTTCTCACTTCAAATGATTTAAGAAAGAAAAACACTCTTCACAGCTGTACCTAGCCACTTGCCTTTTTTAAATTAATTCCAGAGTCAAGCTGACAACCAAGGGCAGCCATCACAATGTGGAAACATTCTATGCTGTGTCTGTCTGTAGCCTTTCTGTAGATCAAAAATGAGTCCTAAATAAAACAGCTCATAGGAAGCAGAGGTGACCAGCCTGGCCTGCAAAGTGAGACCCTATCTCCGAAAACAGTCTCTTACTAACAGACATGCTGTGTTTTGTGAAGCATTATCTCAGGCTGCCTCACAGAATATAGGTTACTTCTGGGGCCAAACATGAGTAAATATGTCTCTCTTGGATGGAAAATTTAACATGAACATATCCAACTTCTTTACTATTTCTACAAATATTTTTTGCATTGATTATTTCCCCCATAAATATTTATTTTAGTTATACAGTTGTCATATAGTAGAATGACATTTTATTTGAAATTGGGGTTCTGGGGATTGTAATATATAGTATTCCATAAACCCATTCAGAAAGAAAGCTGCTTCCTTCTAACCTGACAAGGTACCTTGAGAGGCTGATGACATCCTCTGATCATTTCTTTCTCCACTTAAATGGTTTAACTACTGACTCCGAAATGACCTATACCTCTTTATGAATTCTGTAACAGTCTCATTAAGCCGTTTCTTATTTAACTGCAGATAGTAAAACCTTAACATTATCAGTAACATAAAAGGAATGTGGAAAAAATTACATTAACCTATTCCTTAATTATACAGATAGTTGTGTGAATTTTAGGGTCATCTGTCACCTGGCACAGGTTGAATATTAATAACAGCTCGTAAGTTAACTTGCTTTAACTCATTCTTGTTCCATTCACCCCAATGGGAAACTGGACTTTAGACCCTACGTGAAAGCTAGCTGTGCAGAAAAATCTACTTCTCAAATTAAATTTTGAGGAGAAAATATATCTTCTCCTTATCTAAGTCAGCTTCCATCTACAGTTGTTTATGCCATGGAAGGCAAGAAATGGCTCATTTCTAGGTAGACTTTGAGCTAAGGAACAATGAAGGTATGCCATGATGACAAGATCTTAGGGGGAACAATTGCATGGGGGTATTTTATGTTTCACTTCAATCAGTCCCACAGAACAGAGCATGTCAGGATTTAAGTGTTCAGGTCTGAAGAAGCTGACATCCTATCTCTGTAGTAGGAATCAACTGACACTAAAATCCACCTTCTCCTGTTACCTTTTTTTGTTTGTTTCTCTGTATTGTTTTGGAGGCTGTCCTGGAACTCACTCTTGAAGACCAGGCTTGGCCTCGAACTCACAGAGATCTACCCGTCTCTGCCTCCGGAGTGCTGGGATTAAAGGCGTGTGCCACCAACGCCCGGCCTTCTCCTGTTACCTTCTTTATGAAAAAATAAAATGTATTCGATTTATTCATTTTGTAGATGAGAGTTTTGTTTTGTTTTTTGCCTGCATGTATGCGTGTGTACCACACACGATCAGTGTCCAAGGAGGGCAGAAGAGGGTATCGGGTACCCTCGCTGGAGTCACAGACGGGTGTGAACCGCCGTGTGGGCGCTGGGGATCAAACCTGGGTCCTCTGGAAGAGCAAGTGCTCCCGACCGCTGAGCCACCTCTGTAGGCCTCTTAACACCTGCTGCAGTCTTTTTTAAAAAACTGAGTCTGTGACTCTGAGTCCGCCAGGAGAGCACTGAAATGCCCTGGTAGCACACGCCATACCCCATTGTGATGCCTGGAGCCCACTGAGGGTAGGACACCTGGGGCCGGGATCCAAGATGGTTAGACCACCACCTCAGGTGATTGCGGTGTGCTGCTGAGGTGCAGGAGGACTGTGTTCAGGGGCTTGCATGTAACTGGCCCCCATGAAGGCGTAGGAAGTGGCCCCATTAGGAGGTGTACCTCTGCTGGAGCAGGTATGGCCTTGTTGGAGAAAGTGTGTCACTGTGGGGGGTCAGGCTTTGAAGTTTCCTATGCTCAAGATGCGGCCGGCCGAGTGTCTGAGACCACTCCCTGTTGCCTCCTGACCAAGAGGCAGCCTGCCCCATGTCTGCCAGCACGCCACTGGCACGCCCTCTGCCATGATGATGATGATAGTGGATTGAACCTCTGAAACTGCAAGCTAGCCACCCCAAATAAATGTTTTCCTTTGCAAGAATTGATGTGGCCATGGTGTCTCTGCAAAGCAACAGAAATCCTAACTAAGACAGGGGCCTACTTGTACGCAAATGCTCATGGATTTCACTCTTCCCAGAAGATTCTAGAGCCATGACAAGGGCACTCCTCTGACTAGGAACAGCGTGATGGCTATTCTTGCTTGTCAACTTACTATATCTGGAATTCGCTAAAACCCCAAAATAGAAGGCACACCTGTGAGGGATTTTTTTTCCTTTCTTTCTTTTTTCTTTTTGCTTAATTTGAAGTAGGTAGATTTACTTCTAATCCAGACTTTTGCAGTAGGAAGACAGGCAAGATGCCGTTCACCTGGATCTTGAAGTGTGAAGGCATGCCTTTCGTTTGGGCTACATCTTCTGCCCAACCTCTATTGCTTGTACCCACAGTCAAAATCAACCGTGGACCCCACAGTCGATGTGATGGAGGCATCAACTCCGCTCAGAGGACAACTTTCATCTGTCCCATAAAAGGCTGCTTTGTATCTGTCAACGCCCTGGCATCCCTCATGCCAACGCTACATGTCCTACAGTCCAGTCTCACAATTCTCGGCAACAAGTTTCCTTTCAGAGTCCATGAGCATCCTCTGTGAAAAACAGCTCCCTCTGAGTGACCCCAGCAGCTGTCTCCCATCCAGAGTGACAGCCACTGTTACTAGAAAAAGAAGAACACCTCCAACCAAAGGCCTCGTTATTTCAATGTATTCCAGGAGGGCCTTGATCCCTACTAACTCCACAAGGTGCCCTGTAATGCTGAATTCTAGGTCGATTCTTGCTATCGAACGAACGGTGCTTTCTGAGTCTCCCTAGGTGGTGAGGGTGCTGGCATAGGCGGGGATTTCCCATCCCTACTCCCCCTCCCCACGAAAATGGTCCCTTTATTAGTTTCGTTCTTGTGAGTCTTCAAGGGCCAGAGCACAGGTAGCATGAACACACGTGCAAGGAACAGTTGATACAAAACTAAAAATGTCAGGCATTTCATGGTTCTAATGCTTATGAACCTCCTCTGAACTCATTTAATTTCACCAGCTTGGTCAAAAACACAGGGATGGATTGCAGGAAAAACAAAACAAAACAAAACAGACCATCTCTACAATATAAGTCCAGTAGGAGTGAAGCCCCTCCCGGGTGTGGTCCAAGAGCAGCGGCAGTGGTAGCCATGAACATTGCTACCAGCTAAGCCACGCTCCCTCACTGTGAATTTCAGCCATCCCGCTAGTGCCTCACAGCACAACTCCATGACATAGGGCTATTATTAGTCCCCTATAAACAAAGCACGGACGGGACCGATGCGTAAACTTAGAGCTGTGCTAACAAGAAGAAAGCAAACAGTCAAGCGTGATGACCGCTTCCTGCCGCCACCGTGGGAACCCCACGCCACGGATGGCGCGGATGGCCTTAACAATAGGGGACTAGCATTTGCACTAAGAGTTTACCTGGGAACTGTGTGGGTCAGACCCTCACAACTGCCCCGATTTCCTGCTCTCCGCTTCAGAAAGCGAGGGGGTGAGGCTTAAAACGGTGGAGACATGACTCAGTAGTTAAGAACTCTCGCTCCCCGTCCAGAGGGGACTGCAGTTTGGTTTCCAGCACCCATGTCAGGCGGCTCACAAACGGTCTGTAGCTCCAGATCCAGGGGGATCCAATGCCCCTGCCTTCCAAATGTCACATGAACTCATTTGCATGCAACCATGTGTTCCAGCATGCCCACGCTTAAAAAAAAAATAAAAACAAATCATTTAAAAAACAAAAACCGAGGCTTGGAAAAGTTTAAGATGTCGGGTATTTGAGCCAGATATGCCTGACTCTAGGTTTATTCTGTCAACTCTTCCACCACACCCGCTAATGCAACTGCTATTGTGAGCATCATAAGACGTGTGTGTGTGTGTGTGTGTGTGTGTGTGTGTGTAAGAGAGAGAGAGAGGGAGGCAGAGAAAGAGGGAGGAAGGGAGAGATGGAACAATGCCTCAGCTGTTAAGGGCACTTCCTCTTCTTGCAGGAGACTCAGGTTTGGTTCCCAGCACCCACACGGTGGCTAACAATCATCCTACCCCAGTTCCAGAGGATCTGACGCCCTCTTCTGATCTCCACTGGCACCAGACACACATGTGGTGCACACACATCAACGCAGGCGAAGCACTCATACACAGGAAAGACGTGTATCAGAACACCTTGGGAGACGTTAAGCCATTACTCGCTAACATTGCATCTGAGGGTGTGACAGAAAACAGGCAGGGTGCGTTGGTGGCACACGCCTTTAATCCCAGCACTCGGGAGGCAGAGGCAGGTGGATCTCTGTGAGTTCAAGGCCAGCCTCCAAAACAATACAGAGAAACCCTGTCTCGAAAAACAAAACAAAACAAAAAAATAAAGAAAACAGGCAATCACGACATTCCTTGATGGTTACTTATGCGCCGGGTACAGGCATTCTCTCATCATCTTCCCATGAGTTCACGGTCCTGCCCTAACTTCAAATGTTACTCTCGTGTGATTGGACACAGACTGATAGAAGTGTGACAAAGCAGAGGAAGGGACTCTAAGGAGCAGGGTAGCTCAGTCCAGCTACCAGCATTGTAGGTTGGCCAGGAAAAATCTGGGAGCTAAAGAAACTTCCCAGGTCCTGAGCCCGAGGGCATGTGGTAAAGAGGCTGAGGCCACGCAGCGCAGAGAACAAACACAAGGTTCCAGAGTCAGGGAGCTATAACGCACATGAGTGAGCTGATAGCACCAAGTGATCAGATCTCCCCATGGGAGCTGCAAGCGCGTGAGGGCTAGAGAGGGAAGCAGCTGGGTAAACGCAGGGGCACCGATTAGCCCGGCCGATGCAGAGCTCTGGGGTTGTGCAGATTGTCCCGGGCGACTGCCATTGCCCCCTTACACTCCAGATCCAAGATGGCACTTCATTTGTTCCGCAAATGCCTGCGCCCCACAAACAATGCGGCAGCTACAGGAACCAAGGCGCTGGCGTCCAGGAATCGCGCCTTAGGTAACCCGGCCAGACAGAGAGAGAGACAGAGCGAGCACAGTAAGAGACAGGGCCCGGGTGACACCTGCCCCAAAGACAAGACGAACTCGGCGCCCGAACCGTGCGCGCCCAGGGGCAGGACTGGCCCACGCGCATGCACACGCACGGGAGCGCAGGCTCCCGCGCTCCCGATTGCAGTGCCGAGGCCGGGCGCCGGCGGGAGCCCAGGAGTCGGGAGCTCCAGGCGGGGCGGGTGCCCGAGGACTGAGCTCGAGCATTCGCCTCCCCTGCGGCCGTAGCCCCGCCCCGGGCCCCGCCCATCCCCTTCTCCCGCGCGCGGGCTCCGCGCGCCCCGAGCCGCGCGCGTGCGCGCGCGTGCGCAGGCCAGGGGCCCTCCGCGGGCGGCCCCGTAGAGCCCCTGGGAAGCGTCGACCCGTCAGGTCCCAGATTTAACCCTTTCCCCGCTCGCCCGCCGCCGAAAGAGGCCCCGATCGGGTTCCGTGCCTGCGCGCAAGCGGCGGCGCGCCTTCTTCCCCCAGCCCGCACCGCGCATGCACGGGGAGGGGGGTGGTGGGGGTGTTCGCGGCAGGGCTGGAGAGTCTGTGCTCGTGCAGGAGGAGGGCTGCTACCACCAGGGACGTGCACGACTTTCCCCCCCCCCCACCCCCTCCCCAAACTACAAAAAAAAAATCAAAAAAAAATCCCCAAACACTGCCACCCACCGTGCCCCCGCGTCCATCCCGTCCCGGCCCTGCGCGCTGCCGAACGCGGGAGCCCACGGCGAGCGTCTGTGGCTGTGCCAGGCTGCAGGTAAGCGCGGGCTGGGTGCTGGAAAGGGCCGGGCCGGGGCGGGCGCGGGGACGCGGGGGCAGCCGGCGGCGGGCGCGGCGGGGCCGGCGGAGAGGAGGCGCGTTCCCGCCGGGCTCGGGCGGCAGCCAGCTGCAGGATGTGGCGGCGGCGCAGCGCGGTGCGAGCGGGATCGGGCGTGGGCCGCGGTGGGGCGTGGGGGGGCCGGGCGCCCCGGGGACCCGCGCAGGCCAGCGAGCGGGTGTGGGGAGAGAGAGGACCAGGCGGCGGCGGCGGCCCGCGCGCGCGCTCGCTCGCCCTCCCTCCCTCGCTCGCTCTCCGCTCGCTCGCTCGCCCGCCCGCCCGCCCGCCCGGCGGCCGAGTTCATGGCCGCCCAGCTCTCCGCGCCGCAGTGCACCGTGGTGGGGGGTGGGGACGCCCGAGCCCGGGCCGGAGCGCGGCCCGCGGGGCGCCGCCCCTCGCCGCTGTCCTCTTCCCCCGACCACCCTACACCCTACGCCCCCGGAGCGGACGGGACCCCCCGCGCACGCTCTCCCTCCTGCGCCCGCGGAGCTCCGGGGAGCCGGCCGCGCGCCGCCCCCCGCCCCTGGCCGCGGGAGGGCGCGGGAGGACAAGACGCGCAGGCCGCGGAGTGCGCGGGGCGCGAGCTCGGGGCTCGCGGGCGGGCGTAGCAGGGCGCGGCGCGGCGCGGGGCTGCGGAACCGGCCGCATGCTCGCCAGCCCGCCTGCCCGTTCCCGTGCTTGCTCGCCGCGCTGCTGGGGCTGCTGCGGGCCGGAGAGGAAGAGCCTGGCGCCCGCGCTGCCACCTGGAGGAGAAAGTGGCGGGCCGTGGAAGGGAAGGGTGGCCTGCGCGCCGGGGCGCTTTTGTTTGGGGGCGGAATGCTAAGGGCTGGCCGCGCTCGGCGGCTCCGGGGCTGCGGGATGCGAGCGTGGGCGCCCCGCCACGCGCGCACTGCGCCCCGGGTCTTGCGCCCTGGCCCAGCCGTCCCCGCTCCCAAGTGGTGCGGCCGCGACAGGGAAGTGGTGCGGCCGCCATTGTCGCAGCTGCTCCGGCATAAGGAGGCGGCTGCTGTGGCTGCTTATGTAAGTTTGCTTCTGGGGAAGCCCGGCACCCTTGCTCGGCCAGGGCGCCTTAGCGCTCCCGCGATAACCATTCTGGAGAGCTGCTAGCCAGGAGCTGCTCTGTCTGTAGCTTTGTAGATGTTGGACTAAAGGTCTCCGTCCCGCACCTCCTGACAATGGCTATCTTCCGGTTTGAATTTAGCAATGGGAACATCTCTATAGGGGACAAAAAACAAAACAACAAAAAAAAAAAACGAGCCGATTGGCCCGTGACCTCCTTTGAAAAAAAAAAAAAAAAGAATTCACACTATAACCAGGAACAGAAGAGAGGCTGCACGATGATGTGTTGCCATGGCTACTGTAGGGCCACTCTTCTCCAAGTGCCATGCCCCTTCTGATCCCCACAGTTAGTGACAGCAGACTTGTCACCCAAAGGTTCCGAAGGGAATGCCCCCTCCCTCCCTCCCTCCGGCCGGCTGAAGGCCCCAGGCTGCAGGAAGGCCGAGGTGAAGAACCGAGCATCCTTAGAAATCATCACACAGTACAGATGAGAGAGAAAGCCTGCCGGCTCCTATTGAAGGAACTTGCTAACGGGTCCTTCGGTGGAGTCTTGGCCAAGTCTTTGTCTGGGACTGGACTCCAGCGCGCAGCCACCTGCTTGTACTAAACTTCTGCATTTGTGGGATTGGTGGTCAGTGTAGAAGATATTTTTGTCCTTTAGTGTATTGGTCCGCAGGATGTGGCACTCTTTAGATGAAGAGTTAAGAATCAAAGAAAATTCCTTGAGCCTTTCGCATAGGAAGGGAGGGGGGGAGTGGAATTTCTCCACTGCTGTCTTAGCGGACAGTTTGTAATTAGTGTTCACTCCTCCTTTCTAACTGTTGGATGTATGTGTGATCCTGCAGCCTTTGCCGTATTTAGAGGAACATGCAAACGTCTAGACGTTCACAAGTCCTAAAAGGAAAAAAAGTGGGGAACTGGGTACCCAACAGGAGATGGGGGGGAGTGAGGAACCCCGTGGTGTCTTCAGGATCCCTGTCACCTGCCACACTCACTGCTAGTCCTTCTGTAGAGCCGGGCCGGATGACTGCTGGCCTCCCCGTTTCTACCCAGAAAAATGGGTTCGTATGAAAGAGGGAGAACCATAAAGGGGTCTGTGGTTTTTGTTTTGTTTTTTTGTTCTTGGAAACATTTGGTTTAGAATTTGAGGAAGAGAAAAATCTCACTTAGTCTTTATCCTTTTTCCCCCCCTGGTAGATCTGGCTTGCCCCTGATCAGACTTAGTCTGATCTGAAGATATTGGAGTTTAAGGCATTAAGAAAATAGCCTGAATTGTTCATGGTAAGTATTCCTTAGGGTATTAAAGATTAGAGTATCATTTGGTATTTGATTTTTTAAAAAAGTATCTCAGGTCTAAGGTTATCAAAAAAGGGGTAGTGTACTTGGTTTAATCCAGTCCCTGGTCCCCACTGTATATACACACACACACATTCTCTCTCTCTCTCTCTCTCTCTCTCTCTCTCTCTCTCTCTCTCTCTCTCTCTCTCTCTTTCTCTCTCTCTCTTCTCTAGATATACATTTACAATTCTATTTTCCTCAGACTTGTACTTTATTGAATGAAAATAAGACAATTTTTTAGTAGAAAATGTAAAACACATTGTTTTTAGATCAATTCTTGAACACAGTGGTAGGTCTTTCATGACGGTTTTGAAATGCTTTTGCTTTTAAAAAGCTCCCAACACTTACAGAGTGCAGGTTGAACCTCCATAAGTTCTAAATATTCAAAATCTGAAAGTTTCTCAAGGCTTGTAAGCCACAAATGAAAATCCTGTACTGTGAAGGTTTGTTATAAATCCTATTTGAGCCATGCAGTGGTGGTGCACACTTGTAATTGCAGCGCTCAGGAGGTAAAGGCAGGTGGATCTCTGTGAGTTTGAGGACAGCCAGGGCTACACACAGAAAACCTGTCTCGGAAAACCATAAAAAGCAAAAAAAAAAAAAAAAAAGATGGAAATAAATAAAATGTCATTTGAAATGCTGCATAAATTATCTTCTTGCTATGTGTATAAGGTACATATAAAATATCAACTAGTTTTATATTTAGGCTTGGACTGCCATGCCCAACTTACTTCATGATGTATATGCATGTATTGCAAAGCCTAGAAGAATCTAAAACTGGACACTTCCGGTCCCAAGCATTCCAGAAAAAAAAGGATACTTAACCTGTACGTCTGTTGTTAGACTTAACTGGATGGCTAGAAGATTGTCATCCTGGGGCATGAATCCAGTCATCAGCCTCTTCCCAGATGTCTTCTGGGGTCAGGATCGGCCCAAAGCTGCTATGGAGAGACTACGATGCCCTCTCTAGTCCTCGAATGGTGTCTCGTCTCTCGAGGAAGTGTAATGCCCAGCCCTGATGTTATTTTCCTGAATCCTCCACACCTGAAGTTAGATGTCGCAGACGGGACTTGTGGATTCTTGTTTTCTTGTGTGTGCGCGCGTGTGCGTGCGTGCTGTGTATACACGTCTGCGTGAGTGTTAGCACGTGTGCGTGTGTACCAGCCATTCCCTGTGGGAGATCCGAGGCCCATGCCGGTGGGCGTCTTCCTGGATTATTTGTTCGTTGAGACAGGGATCTCTGGGTTCAACCTGGAGTTCACTGTTCAGGTAGTACAGCTAGCTGGCTTCCCTCCAGAATTCATTTGTGCCTTCTCGAAACTAGAGGTGACCACCGTGTGCCCACCTGCATTTACACTGGTGTTGGGGGTATAGCCCCCTTACACTTGTGCAAGTGCTTCTACTCACTGAGGTCCCTGGCTCCAGGACCAGAGGATTCTTCTCTCAACGCTGTAACTTAACGCTTCGAGGTCAGGGTGTCTCCTGCCAGTCATACCTCTGTCTTGACAGTCTGACTGCCTGAGTTTTTAAATCACCTTTCCTGGATCTGATTACTAGATCTCAAGTAGCAATAGGAGGTTGGGCACCTTCTTAACCCCTTTTGTTAACTGAGGACGACGCCTTCTTCCGTACGATTATTTGTAGCCAAGTGTATTGAGGCATCGTGAGCATGGGGAGTAATGCCTGGTGTGTGCGTTCTAAAAAGCTGCCATAATTATTATAACTAGGAAACTTAGTAAACTGAAACGTACTTTTAAAAATAGCAATGTGGAAACCCCTTATCTGGGGTTACTCTTTTCTACCTGTCTTTGGGCTGCCTTTAACATCGAATTTTCTAAATTGTTAGGTTCTAAATAAATATTGACAGTATGACTGGGTTTTCTTGTTTGCTTGTGCTTGCTTTTTGGTATTGGGAGTACTACACAATAAAACATTTTTTATATTTGGCAGGAGTTTTTCATCAGTATGTCTGAAACCATAAAATACAATGACGATGATCATAAAACGCTGTTCCTGAAAACGCTGAATGAGCAGCGCCTGGAGGGAGAGTTTTGTGATATCGCGATCGTGGTTGAGGATGTGAAGTTCAGAGCCCACCGGTGTGTTCTCGCGGCCTGCAGCACATACTTCAAGAAGCTTTTCAAGAAGCTGGAGGTGGATAGCTCTTCCGTCATAGAGATAGACTTCCTCCGCTCCGACATATTTGAAGAGGTCCTGAACTACATGTACACAGCCAAGATCTCCGTGAAAAAGGAGGACGTCAACCTGATGATGTCGTCGGGCCAGATCCTGGGGATCCGCTTTCTGGATAAGCTCTGTTCTCAGAAGCGGGACGTCTCCAGTCCCGACGAGAGCAACGGCCAGTCAAAGAGTAAGTACTGCCTCAAGTTAAACCGCCCCATCGGGGACGCCGCCGACGCTCAGGACGATGACGTGGAAGAGATCGGGGACCAGGACGACAGCCCGTCGGACGACACGGTGGAGGGCACCCCCCCGAGCCAGGAGGACGGCAAGTCCCCCACGACCACCCTCAGGGTCCAGGAGGCGATCCTGAAGGAACTGGGGAGCGAGGAGGTCCGCAAGGTGAACTGCTACGGCCAGGAGGTGGAGTCCATGGAGACCCCCGAGTCCAAAGATCTGGGGTCCCAGACCCCCCAGGCCTTAACGTTTAACGACGGGATGGGCGAGGTCAAAGACGAGCAGACCCCGGGCTGGACCACCGCCGCCAGCGACATGAAGTTCGAGTACCTGCTCTACGGCCACCACCGGGAGCAGATCGCCTGCCAGGCGTGCGGTAAGACGTTTTCCGACGAGGGCAGGCTGAGGAAGCATGAGAAGCTCCACACGGCCGACCGGCCTTTCGTCTGCGAGATGTGCACCAAGGGCTTCACCACCCAGGCGCACCTGAAGGAACACCTGAAGATCCACACGGGGTACAAGCCCTACAGCTGCGAGGTGTGCGGGAAGTCGTTCATCCGCGCCCCGGACCTGAAGAAGCACGAGCGTGTCCACAGCAACGAGAGGCCGTTCGCCTGTCACATGTGCGACAAAGCCTTCAAGCACAAGTCTCACCTCAAGGACCATGAGAGGAGGCACAGGGGGGAGAAGCCCTTTGTGTGCGGCTCCTGCACCAAGGCCTTTGCCAAGGCCTCGGATCTGAAGAGGCATGAGAACAATATGCACAACGAGAGGAAGCAGGTCACCCCCAGTGCCATCCAGAGCGAGACGGAACAGTTGCAGGCCGCAGCCATGGCTGCTGAGGCCGAGCAGCAGCTGGAGACCATCGCCTGTAGCTAGGGGCCGGGGGTCGGGAACGCTCGGCCTGGGGAGGTCGATGCCGGGGTCGCGTTGATCCCAGCCCGTCAGCAATCCTTTGACTGCTTCTCTGGCAACTTAAAAAGTGTTGTACTGGCTGGACCTAAGGCAGAGCTCACTCCCGTTAGGTGATTTTTAAATTTCCCTAAGGCAGTTACGTACACTCCTACGTTCTGACCAAACAGTTGTGCGTGTGTGTGTGTGTGTGTGTGTGTGTGTGTGTGTGTGTGTGTGTGTGTTTTTATTTTTTTTGTGGTGTCTGGTATTCATGTTCCCCATACACTCCCCTAACCCTTCTCTGTGGTTTTCATTTGAAAACTCTGTCCAGTTTGAAGTGAGCGGCTCCTGTTCCATTCTTGACTCCGCGGGTACGTGTGCGTGTGTGCTGCACAGGGTAATCGAAACAAGAAAGTCGATTTCCTGGTCGTCCCAAATGTACGTGACTTCCAGTCAGAACAGCAGTCTTAGTAACTGGATACAAGAACTTCCCGTCGATGCAGAAAACGTTGGCACATGCTGACGCAGGACACTGTATGAGTACAAAACCAAGTTTGGAAACACGGAATGGTGTTCTGTGTTTTTTTCCTTTGGTCGATTTTTAAGCATCTCTCTCTATATATATATCATTGTTTTTACCGTTTCTGTGGACAGTAAATGGTTGCTTGGCTGAAGTGTTTCTTCATCCTTTGATGATGGCCCCTGTACCCACCCCAAATGCTGCAGGTCACGTGTGCCTCTGGGTGAGTGAGACCACTGGAAAGCTGGTAGTGCTGGAACTGAGTTCCTCTTCGTCCAGGGTGGGCCACTCTACCTGAGGGAGTGAACCAGTAGTGAGAGGGAAGTCTCCAAGACAAGGTTTCCACAGATACAGAAACCCTAAGAGATTGATTCCCTAGGTCTTCAGATCCTGACTGATTACGAGATTGGTTTTGTATTTAAGATCAAAATGAAGAAGAGAAGCAGAAGTGATTCTTGAGATGTTTTTTGTAGTTGACGGATGATCAGGCTTCGGGGCTCTCTGTGGCACTCCTTTTCTCATGAAGAAGATGCTGAAATAAATTTTAAGATCTTTCAAATGTGTAAATAGTAGTGTTGGTCCTGTGTGTTTCAAGGAGAAGGACGGCTGCACTTTTTTTTATTTTTTGTTTTTATTTTTTTTGCACATTGGATTAAAGTACCTTTCATTGGCAGCAAACATCAGACCGTCTTGATGATGGTCAGACCAAACGTTTGTTTTTCAAGTATGTTTTATCACTGGCTGCAGTTTTCAGTAGAAGCTGACTGCCTTTTCGTAGCCATAAATCACAATTATGAACTTTGTTTCAGATCTGGCATACTAAATGTGCTTTTTTAAAAACTATTTCCTTAGGAGTGTATTGAAGCACCAGCAGAGTTTGAATTACGCTCTGTGAGAGGGTACTAGATGATTGTTTTAGGATATGTACAGTTGTAGAAAGTGCCAACTTTTATAAAGTTCATGTTTGGTTCTTAAGATTTTCATTTTTTAAAAAAAATAACATTAAAATGATTTTATTACATGGCTTGCTGTATTATCACCTGTTACTACTGTTGTGAGAAAATGTTTATTTTCAGAATTGGTGTACGTGTTATGCCCAGGATTGTCGGATGGGGATGCTACCTTTCGAATTCTCTTATTTATTGGTAAGATGTTTTGGTTTAAAATTGATTTTCCCCTGAGAGCTCTTTGTTCTGTATTGGAGACAGTCCTGTCAGTGTTTCTGTGCTGTAAGGAGGGGGCCGGCTGCTGTTCCCAGGCTGTGTTGACCAAAGCAAACGTGAAATCAGCTGATATCCTGTTGATAGCTACTTCAACAAAACCATATTTTGGGCCTTTGATTTTGTATATAAAGAAAGTAATATACTTGTCTTGTTCTCCATCTTTTTTTTTATGGTATCGTTGTACACATCTAGATCCATTACTACCTCAGTCTTGGTTTTATAGAGGTATAGACTTAACATACGAAATTAGTCCCTATAGAAAGCCTGTAATCATTGAAAAACAAAGCAGAACTTACCAATACTTTGTGCTATGTATTTACCATTTGAACTATTTTGTACACAAAATGTATTTGTATTACGACACCCACCGTGGGTGCTGGGTTCCTATTTTCTTTCAGATATTTTTATATGTTTGGCCCTAACAGTAACACTCCTTATCTCCTTATCCAGCTAGCTCTAGTCATAGTAAACATCATGCTAGAGTTCTCAAGGGACCCTCCATGGGACTTCGAGACTTCCTCCTGGGGTGTGCTAGCCCTGAAATCTGCAGTGAAAGTGGACGGGGCAATCCTAAACATCGGCATCGATACCTTTCCATAGATACCGTTTCTTTCTGTGCTAAGTGTGTGTTTGTAGACATTGTGTTGGGTTTCATGCTAGACTCCCATTATGTTAGGCACTGGCTTAGATAATGACTGTTAGGAACTGTAAGCTTAGGGTAGTGTGTTAGTTTGCTTTCTGTTACTGTAAAAACAGCCAAGAGAGTTGGCTGCTGGTGGCACAGGCCTGTCGTCCCAGCTGCTCAGGAGGCTGAGGGGAGACCACAAGTTCAAAGCCTGCCCACATAGCTAAAGAGTGAATTCAAGACCACTCTGAGCAGGTGATAATGGCACAGGAGCAAAGTGCTTGCCCATCGTGCATGGAATTTAGTCCCCTGTATGGAGGGCTTGGGGGATGATAGGGCACAGATTCAGATACATTTCTAACTGCCCTGAGCCTGGATTTCTTCCCCTTTGAGGTAAGGGTGTAGATTTCTACCTCAGTACCGGGCCTGGTACTCAGCTTTCTAGCCTGCACCAAAAATATTTCCTGGGTTTTTGTCATATTGGATTGTTTTAGACAGGGTATCACTCTGTAGCTTGGCTGGCCTCAAACTCAGGTCTGCCTGCATCTGCATCCTCAGTGTTAGGAATACAAGCATATGCCAACAAACTCCACCATGTCAAGGAGTTCTCATTGGACACAAACTGTGTGTGTGTGTGCGCGCGCGTGCGCGCACGCGCGCCTGTCAATTCTATAATTGCTGGCTCTGAATTATAGGTGGATAACCTCATCTAAAGAGTTCATAACTGAAAATACCTACAGAAGCTGTGTTTAATCTTGACATTTATAAACTGCCCATTCACAGCTTTGTTCTTAAAACATTCATCCTAGAATCTTCTTTGGTTTCGTAATCGCCCATCATTTGCCCGTTTTTAAGTAGGTCACTGGCATGTAGACAAAGTGTACACCCTAGTTTGGTTGGCTTCCAAACCTACTTAGGGGACATGACGACACAGCCAGGATTGCAATTTAGAGAGCCATATGTGAAGTCGCCCATCTAGAAAATACTTCTATATAGAGCTTTTCCAAAGTGAATGTTGTCCAGTATTACCCTTCCTGGTTTGCATCAATTCCAAGAGTATGTTGTTTCCTTGCTAAAGGGATTAAAACTGCCACTCTAGAATTTTTATTTTAGTTCTGGAATTTTCTGTTGGCTTCGCTTTAGAGGTTATTTTTGTGAATCTCACAGGAAAGCACTTTTCTGTGGAGTAAGCTAGTGTCCACTGACTGTCCTGGCTGAATGCCTGGTATTTACAGAGCCAGGCATCGGACTGAGTACACACACATATACACACACATACACACACGTATACACGCACACACACATATACACGCACACACACGCACACACATACACACATGCACACACACATATACACACGCACACACATACACATGCACACACATACACACACACGCCCACACACACACATATACACACACGCACACGCGCACACACACACAGTGAGCAGGAGGAGCCCATTCCTGCCGTCCAAATGCCTCACCTTTCCATACTTCACAAAATTCTGCAGACTTTGAAGAGTAGTGTAGCCATCGCACATGTGCAAAATGCTTCTCAGTTTGGTGTGTTATGTTGACACAGTTCATAGAGCATACTTTCAAAGGTAACTAAAGGTTTTCCTTCTGTTGTGGTCAAGTTTGGTGGTGTCGCAATCAGCCAGCAAGGTGACTTAGCAGGTAAAGGGCACATGGCGACAAGCCTGAGGGCCTGAGTTTGATCCCCAGGATTCACATGGAAAGAGAAAAGACCGAGCTGCAAGTTGTCCTTGGTCACCAGCACGATGCTGTGGCATGCCCATGCACACAATAAATAAGCACGGGAGAGTTACAACAATGTCTCTCATGCAACGGGTGGGTCAGCAGATACTAAAGTAACCTTCCTGCCCTTGCTTAATTCTAGAACCTGTCCCCAAACATGGAAGCCCTCTGGCAAAGTGTCATGAAACAACTGTAGCCAGTGGCTGTCTTTCTAAAACAAAGTTTCAAAATTCGGGAGCCAGGAGAAGCAGCCTCCCTCCCCTCCCCGGCAGTACCAAAGTCAGTGTGGTTTGGGGCAGAAACCAGCTGTGAGATTGGTCGCCTGTGCCTGGAGGTCTTGCTGAGCTTCTCCCTCTGGCACCTTCCCTTCCTAGAAGGTCTTGGCTTCTTTGGATTTCTGTTCTACCTCTTGGCCTCATGAACTCGGCTGGTTGAATAATTTTCCTCAATTTCTTCCGTGGAAACAAATTTGAGGCCTGAGAGACGGCACATTGGGTAAGAGCACTGACCGCTTTTCCAGGGGACACAGGTTCCATCCCAGCACCGTATGCCTAGAATTCTGATTTGCAGCTGGGCATGATGCCCCACACCTTCAATCCCAGCAGAGGCAGGTGGATCTCTTGAATTAGAGGCCACCCTGGCCCACAGAGCAAGTTCCAAGAAGGCCAGGCCTACCCAGAAAAACCCTGTCTTGAAACTATAACAAACTATTTGATTCCCCGCCCAGTTTATATCATTTTTATTAAGAAAAAAAACAAATTTAGCTTTAAAATAAGATATAACCAATGTGAAGGATTATTGACCTTAAACAGAATGTCAGAACTAGAAGTTGGGGTGTTTATGCTTAATTGAACTGAGCATGTGAGCACCGTTCCTTCTAAATCAACTCTAACTCATTTTAGTTACTCCTCAACTCATCATGTCCCCCCAAGACTTCTGTGAGGCAGGGAGAGAGTAGAGGTTCTTAGGTACCTACCTTAAAAATGTATGGATGCTGGGCGGTGGTGGCACATGCCTTTAATCGCAGCACTCAGGAGCCAGAGGCAGGCGGGTCTCTGTGAGTTGGAGGCCAGCCTGGTCTACAGATCCAAGTTCCAGGACAGCCAGGGCTACACAGAAATCCTGTATCAAAAGAGGGGGGGGGGAGGAGAGAGGAAGGAAGGGAGGGAGGGAGGGAGGGAGGAACGGAAAGAAGGAAAAGAGAAGTACAGAGTTAAACTTTGGTGGTACATAGACTACAGCTAGGCTGTAACAGTACAGCTAGCCCTCTGTTGTAGACAGGGTTTCATGTAGCCCAGGCTAACGTCAAACTTAATGCGTGGCTGGGGCAGACTTTGCTCTCCGGGCTTTCCCCTCTGCTCTCCAAATGAAGTGATCACAGATGTGAGCCGTCCCACCGGGCTACTACTCTCACTTGAAGAAACGAAGAAAGGGCTGGAGCCTGGGTTCCTTGCCTCTCGGGTTTGCCTCAGTTGTACGCAGCCTAAAGTAGATCCGTTAGGTTGTATAAACCAGCGGTCCTCAACCTCCCTAATGCTGTGACCCTTTAATGCACCTCCTCTTGTTGTAGTGACCCCCCCAACCACAAAATTATTTTTTGTTGCTACTTCGTAAGTGTAAATGTTTTTGTGAACCATATTAAGGGGTTTTTGACCTCCAAATAGTTCTCAACCAGCGATGAAAAGCTTTGGCTCTTCCTAAAACTACAGCACAAATAATAGATTTAGATTCGTTACTTTCAAGTTTGCCGTACATGATTTACCCAGTGTGGCTCAGCCTTGTCCCATGACAAATGAACTTCCAGAAAGCCACTGTACTGCTGAATCTGAGACTTTTGAAACGGGCTTTTCTTTCTATGACTAAACTTTGAATGTATTAGTATAAGTGACAAAACTGAGTGTGATATTAATTGAAAGTGGGGAACCTTGGCCCAACAGCGCTGGTCTGAGTTCTGGTTCTGACACTGGAGTGGCTGGTGTTGGGCAAAATTACTTCCCAGGTTTAACAGACTCCCCCATGACGTGGGGTGATAACGTGGGGACTGATACGGTGCACAGACGGACTGCATGTGGTCTGGGCGCCTGGGAGTCAGATTCCGCTTCCAGCAGGCAGAACTCCTGCTTAATTTGGTCAGCCTCCGTCATGGTGGCAGCTTCCGAGACGGCATAAAAGATGGAAACATTTATTTGGGTTTTATGGGCTTCTGGCCCTGGTCACTTAACCTCTTTTACCTTAGACTTGTAGTACAGTAGATCCTGAGGGCATGAAATAGTGTCCTCATCACAGCCATGAAGTACTGTGGTCATAATCTTGCTAGTCCAATAAAGCCTGTCTGAGGGTCAGAGAATGGAGGTTGCCATTGGCTAACCATAGAGGTCTGGAGATCTGTACAGACAGAACAGGAAGTGAGATGGCTGGGCGCAGACAGGAAGTGAGATGGCTGGGCGCAGACAGGAAGTGAGATGGCTGGGTGGAGAGGCGATATAAACGGGAAGAAACAGGAACTCCTCACTCTCTTGTCTGCTGAGAAGCTGGAGAGGTGAGGTGTGCTCCGTGGGCTTTCTCCTTCTCTCTGATCTCTCAGACAGGCTTTATTTGCACAAGCAAGAAATCACCACAAAGTGTGATGGGAGCACAGGGCTTCCACTATCCTCTTGGAGGAAATGCTCTGGCGACACAACTTCCTGCCACCAACTCCAGCTCCTAAAGCTCCCCCGGTTCTCAAGAGCACTGTTGGTGTGATCAGCCCTTTTAATCTGCGAATCTTTGGGGACATATCAGGCCTGACCTACATTCTATAGCTAGGGCATAGAAACAGCCCACCTCTCTAAAGGTTCCCGGTTTGAAGAGTGACTAGATTCAGCCAAGGCCCCTTGATAGAATCTATCCAGCTTTTTTTTTTTTAAAGAAGGGGGATCAGATACATCCTAGATACCCACACACACATGTGCTCACACCCGTGCACACACTCCCTGTCTTTGGCCATGTGAGGCCTGGTGAGTGTAGCCTGTCAGCTTTAGACATCCAGAATCACGAGCCAGAGTAAACCGGTTTTCTTTAGGGTGGTTATAAGTGCTATTTCAACCGAGATGTTTGGCATACAATCGCCAGCATTTCGGGGTACACCGGAACTGTGACAGGTGCCTGATGGGTGGTTGGGCCACCGGCATGCACTGTTAATTATTTTCTACAGCTTTTGGAGACCCACCTCTCGATCATCCCGAGTGCTGATCTCACTTGGGGCTTCCCTTCTGTGCTGTCTAGAAGTCGGTTCTTGGTTCCCAGCCTCCCCCATCTTGTCTGGATGGGACCCATCCTCCCATGGGAGCTCGGTGGCCTTGTGAGCTGGGACGCTGTCCCCAGTCCGCCTCAACCCTCACCCGTAGTTGATGGTGGCTGGCTCCTAAATGGGAGGAAAGAGAAAAGGGTCTGCCAGAGTGCGGGTGACCCCAAGTCTTTACACAGTGAGGGCTCCTGGGCAGTTTTAAACGGTGTTGGGTTACAAACAAACAAAAATATTTACGGGAGAGTAGTTGAACAGCTAGAGCTCTGAAGGGACCTGAAACCCCATCTCCTAGTGTGCTTGAATTTCAAAGGGGGGTTTTAGCAGCAGGGTCCTCGAGCCGGTCATTTGCAACTCAAAGGATCCTTGGTATCCCTGAGGAAGGGGCATCTTTGTAGCTCCAGAGTTGTCTTTCAGGCCCACTACTGAGTGCCAGGCTGAGGGTAGACAGTTAGAACTGTGATTTTGGACTAGTCGAGCATTTTCTCCAAAAGCCCATGCCTGTTTTCAGGATAAAATTGAAAATCAATTAGACGTTGGTGTTATGTGATCTCAGTGCTGCGCAGACCTGTACTCCAAGTCCCAGGAGGCTGCACCAAGAAGACCTCAGTCCTGAGGCCAGGCCCTGGTTACCAGAGAAACAGTCTGTACAAACTAAAACAAACAAAAACCTATAACCTGCCTTCAAATTTCAAAAATATCCTGAGAAGTCTGAAACCGTTTGAATTTCTGATGTTTGCATTCTGTGTATTTTTCCTCTCTTTAAAATAACAAGAAAAACAGCCAAGGTGGCAAATGCCTTTAAAAACCCCAGCACTGTGAGTTCCAGGAAACCCTGGTCTACAGGGTCTACAGAATGACTACCCTGGATGTAGTCAATCAGGACTATGTAATAAGACCCCCATCAAAATAAATAAATAAATATAATAAGCTTGAAGACAACCAGATGTGGAGGTGTGAGCTTCTAGCCTGAGCTGCTGGAGAAGTTGAGATAGGAGGATCTTCTGAGTCCATCTAGGGCTCATCTAAGAACTAGAGACCTTGTCTTAATTAATTAACAATTAATTAAACAAGCAAGATATAACAAGGAATAGCATTTTTAAAACTTCGGATTGTTTCAGTTGGAGTGTACTTAAAACTAGTGGGGTTTTTCAGTCTTCTTTTTTTCAAGACAGGGTTTGTCTTATTACTTTGGAGCCTGTCCTGGCACTCACTCTGTAGACCAGATGGGCCTTGAACTCAGAGATCCGCCTGCCTCTGCCTCTGGAGTGCTGGGATTAAAGATGTGTGCCACCAGCAGTCTAGAAAGTAATGTCTTAAGATCTGAAAAATTATTATTTTAAATTATTTCATTTGTGATTTCCATGTTTCTCTCTCTCTCCCTCTCTCTCTCATTGTTTTTCGAGACAGGGTTACTTTGTGGTTTTGGAGGCTGTCCTGGAACTAGCTCTTGGAGACCAAGCTGGTCTGGAACTCACAGAGATCCGCCTGCCTCTGCTTCCCAAGTGCTGGGATTAAAGGCGTGTACCACCAACGCCCAGCTTCTCTGCTTCTCTTAAACTTACCTTTTTTGTTATTCCTTATTTTCTGTTTGCTTTATATTTCTTTTTTAAGAGATGTCCACAGCTTTGCATTTTGACAGTTTCAATATTAATTTTCCCTTTTACGATATTAAAACTTTTTAAAGCTCTTAATTTTAAAATAGTTTTAGATTTGCGGAAATGCTGATCAGAAAATGAAAACACACCTCAATTTTCCTAAGATGTCATATCTTACATAATCACAGTGTAGCAGTCACAACTAACAGATTAACATTGGTGTGAAAATTGTTACAATTCTATTAGCTGAGCTACAGGCTTGATTTTGAGTTTGCTTTCTTTTCCCAGTAAATGCTCTTTGTTTGTTATTAGATCTCATCCACGTTTCTCTGGCCTCTAACAGCTCCTTATTCTTTTCATGTGTTTCAGAGTCTTTCTACTTTTTGAATAGTACAGGTGAGTCATTTTTCTAGAATGTGTCTAAATTTAAAGTTGATACTTTCTCGGGATCACAGTGAGATTGTGGATGTCTGGCTAAGATACAAAGAGAAGGGGGTGCTTTTCTCTGTGACTCATACAGGGGGTCCTGGTGTTTCTGTGTGCCACTGTTTCCTGGGTCTCACTGTGGCTTCTGTTTTCACTTGAAAAATGTATTTAATCAACCGCATGCTCTGTGTGTGTGTGTGTGTGTGTATGTATATGAGTGTCTCTGTTTCTTTGTATGTGTCTCTGTGTGTATATGTGTGTGTGTTTATGTGTGTGTCTCTCTGTGTGTCTGTATGTGTGTGTGTGTCTCTGTGTCTGTGTGTATGTGTATACATGTATGTGTGTGTGTGTGTATATATGTATGTGTCTCTCTCTGTGTCTGTGTGTGTCTCTGTGTGTATGTGTGTGTATATATATGTGTGTGTGTCTCTGTGTGTATGTGTGTGTATATATATGTGTGTGTGTCTCTGTGGGTATTTGTGTATATATATGTGTGTGTATGTCTCTGTGTGTGTGTGTATGTGTGTGTATATGTGTATGTCTCTGTGTATATGTGTGTGTCTCTGTGTGTCTATATATATGTGTGTGTGTGTTTCTGTGTCTGTGTTTCTGTGTGTGTCTCTGTGTGTCTATATGTGTGTGTATATATGTGTGTGTGTGTCTCTGTGTCTGTGTGTGTATGTGTCTGTGTATGTATTTGTGTTTATATATATATGTGTGTGTGTCTCTCTGTGTGTGTGTATATGTGTGTGTATATATGTGTGTGCATGGGTATATGTGTGTGTGTCTCTGTGTGTATATATGTATGTGTATATATGTGTGTGTCTTTCTCTGTGTCTATGTAGTATGTGTATGTGTGTCTGTGTATATGTGTGTGTGTCTGTGTGTCTATGTGTATATGTGTGTATATGTGTATGTGTGTGTCTCTCTGTATGTGTGTGTGCACTTGTGCACAAGTTTGTGCCATGGCACATGTGTGGTCAGAGGACAACTTTCAGAAGTCATACATGGGGCTGAGCCATCTTTTCTGCCACTATTTTCTCTTTATAATTAATAGATATTTTATAATCAGAGCTTTCATCATTTGTACATCCCGACTTGCGTCAAGCTTTTGGCCACTAATTTTAGCATCCAGTTTTAGCAGATCCCGCCTAGAACAGCTACCGTGATGCTGCTCTGATGGTTGCTTTTCAGTTTCCCCCAGGGTTTCTCGATTTCTCACTGTGATTCTTCCGTTCCTCGACTGTCTGTTTAGTTATTTACTCATTTATTTGCTTACGTGTGTGGCCACACGTGTGGGAATCCATTGTCCTCTTCACCCAGGCGGGTCCAGGGAATCCATCTCAGTTATCAGCCTTGGCAGTGGTCCCCTACCCAGTAAGCCATCTTCCTGGACCTTGTCTTTTGTTTTGTTGCTTGTTTGGCTTTGGATGCTGGGTGACCACAATTTAACTTCAAAGGAGGTTTGAATAAGAATGACTTCCATAGGCTCACACCTGTGAATGCCTGGTCTCAAGGTGATGGAACTGCTGGGGAAAATGAAGAGATGTGGCCTTGTTGGAGGAGGTGGGGATGGGGGAGACTCTGAGGTTTCAAAAGCCCAAGCCATTGCCAGTTAGCTCAGTCTTTTTGCCTCATGCTTGTGGACTGTATGTAAGCTCTCAGCCACTGCTCCAGCACCACGCCTGCCGATGTGCGGCCATGCTCCGTACCATGATACAACCCCCAAATTGACTGCTGTCGTTTATAAATTGACTTGGTCATGGTATTCTGTCAGAGCAATTAGAAAGGTAACTAAGCTGTGTGTCTGTGTTTTAAAATGCCTCCTTCCTGCTCCGTTTTCATAACACCCTGGCCTAGTTTAGGGTTACAAAGTCTTCTTTCACCTTTCTATAGATACTTATGATTGTTTGCTTTCTTTTGTGTGTGGTGAGTATGTGTGCACAGGCGTGTGAAGACCAGAGGGCGACGCTTCGCTACACTCCGCCTTGGATGTTTTTATGATATCTGATACAAGAAGTATTGTCAAAAGAGAGAATGAGGCCGGGTGGTGGCGGCTCACGCCTTTAATCCCAACACTCGGGAGGCAGAGGCAGGTGGATCTCTGTGAATTCGAGACCAGCCTGGCCTACAAGAGTTAGTTCCAGGAGAAACCCTGTCTCAGAAAATAGCATTTGTTAAGGGTGGCTTACATGTTACGGTCTGATTTTTCCAAAAATGCTCTCTCGATGGAAAGTCCAAGAATCCTGTAGTTCAGCCCAGAAGGTTGGATGTCTCCGCTGGTCTTCGGCATGCACCAGAACCCTGAAGAAGGAGACTTTAACGCCAGTGAAAGGAATGAGTTGCCGGCCAGAGTGAGGGTGACCAGGCAGAGTGAAGGTCCTTCCATGCCTTTTAAATAAGATGGCCACCAGAAGTCATGGTCAAGATTTAAGGTTGATCTCCTGGCCTCAAAAGATCTGCCCATTGCAAATAACCAACTAAGAAAATTCCCTCCTGGGCTTTTAGTTCATCCCAGCTGACAAGCTAGAACAGCCACCACACTTCTCTGTGAACTAAAACTGTTATTAGTATCTAATGATTGTATGAAGTTTAGTATTTAAATTCACTTTCAGCCACTACACTGCTAACATCTGTCTTTATTATACAACTTTCTCACTGTCTTGGTTTTCCAGGCCCAGGTAGGTTCCATAAGAGAAAAAAATGTGTGTGTACACACACATATGATCTATATTCATTTTCTTTTAAGTATGAAAGTTACCCATTTCCTTAGAGGCTGAGATTAAATAATAATTTCAAAGGGACATCTGTAGTTCATTTGCAGATAACGGAGATGGTGATTTTCAAATTCATTCCAGTGTGTTCATGTAATAGACTTTCTTAGAATGCCACATATTGGCTCTATACTAAAAACAAACAAACAAACCTATCTGCATGGCACTCAAGCTCACTCTCCTCACCATTGCTGGGAAGGGCTGACAAGTGTCTGTTCTGCTGTCTCACCAGGTCCAGGCATGCGTCAGAACACAGACAAGACCTGACCCAGAGGTTGATAGGAAACTAACCGGCTGACCAGAGAATCAAAGAGTGGGTCTGGTCCAGTCTAGACGCATCCCAGAGAGACGATAAATCCAGACACTGGCAGTGAGGCAAGCCGGCTTCTGCATGGAGCCCTAGAACATTCTGTTTTAGGAGTTTGAGGAAACAGAACTTAAGACAGCCAAGCACTGATTAACCCTTGACACATCAAGGGAAAACCAGGGCTGGAAAATACCTATAGCAGTAAAAATAGACTTTGGTCTAAGCCTACTGCGATACTAGATAAGGGACCTCAGGACAGGAACTGACAGGGCTTGCGTGCTGCATGGGGAAGCGGGAGTTTACTACAAAGGACCAGGAAACGGGCCAGAGACAGAACACACTAAGAACAAGCATCTGGTCCGATGTCCCAGTGGTCCAATTATGCAAAGCAGGGAAAGGTGTTCCTATGGGAACACCAGGGAAACCGTGGCCCAGCAAAAAACTAGCTTCACAGTTCTCATAATGTATGTCATAGCTAAATCTACAGGCATACATTTCCTGTTTTTTTTTGTTTCATATCTTGTATAGTTTTTTGTTTTGTTTTTCGAAACAGGGTTTCTCTGTATTTTGGAGGCTGTCCTGGAACTTGCTCAGTAGACCAGGCTGGCCTTGAACTCACAGAGATCTGCCTGCCTCTGCCTCCCCAGTGCTGGGATTAAAGGCATGTGCCACCAATGCCCGGCAATAAATTTTAAAATGTCTTCAGTCAAGGCAGAGACTGGGAATTTATTCCCCCCAGTTCTGGCCAAAACTGTAAATAATTTTTTTTAGAACCAATTCCTGCTCCCCATTTTTTTTCGTCGTTTTGTTTTTCAGTAGAGCAGCGATGGATTTTGTGTAAACTGACCCTGGAGATTCTTGCTCTAGCCAGAACAAGGGTGGATGGACATCCCCTGGGGGGGGGTGTGGGACTGAAGATTAGATACCCTGCTTTTGGATTCTTGAGAAACTGGTTTAGTAAGGTTCTTTACAAGGAAATGTGTAGGACCTAGGAGAAGAGAGTCAAGGGTCAGGAAGCTGACCTAAGTATGCTAAAACTGATTTGGAAGACGCTCAAAGTCGTGGAACTGATGTTACAAAAGATCGCCAATGGATTTTCTTAGGAGACAATAAATCACACAAAGTAGGATTTAACTAAGGGAACACTGCCTCTAAAATACCACACAGTAGTGTGTTAGCCAGGCCTGGTAGAGACAAGCGAAGTTTACAAACGTAAGATGTAAACACTTGCTCACCAGGACTGACCAGTATTGGGCCTTATCCCTAAAGAACGTGGCTCTGACATGGCCAGAGGACAACAGGGGGACAGCACAGAGTCACAATGAATGTCAAGATCTGGGCTCCTGTAGAGCCTACAGTTCTCTTCGTGGGGAAGAAAAACACCAGCTCAGCTAGGAATCAGGGAATTTACAATCGTGATCAGCCTGTCTGGTGAGCTGGCGCAATAGAGGTGCAGACATTGTCTGATCGGATGCAAGGCCCCACTCCAGGAGACGGAACCTGCGCCTACACTGTTTTGGGTGGTGAAGAACCTGAGACTAGATATGCCGTGGGTCGCAGGGAAAGCTCAATACTCCCGTTTAAGGAATGCAGCAATAAGTGATCTCTGATGACACGGTGCTATACTCATAGATCAGTGTCTGACTCAGCCGTCACAAGGGAAGCTTCGTGTTCGGGTAGATGGGAGCAAGCACAGGGACCCCCGAGTGCGCAATGTGCAGAGAGTGCCAAGCTTTGGAGCACTCGGGTCCTAAGTGGGACGGCTTCACCTGAGCCCCCCCCCCAGGCTTACTGAGGCAGCTATATAGAAGAGGTAGAAAGTGTAGTGGCCGGTCCCCCATTTTAGCAGCCATGACGGGCTACCACGCGCTTACATGACTTTGCCGCTCCTGTCCCTGTCCCTGGTCACTAGGAGGTCAGATGCCCTCCTTGTGGCAAGGAGCCGATCAGAACTTAGCTGCCGGACTGTGTTTTACGGACAAGTGCACAACGGTGACATGCAGAGCATAACAACCTCCCTGGGAAGGCCTATGGGCCATAACAACCAGTTGACCAATCAACACAGGGTGGGTCGTCCAAAGTTAGAAGCTCACCAATCCTGAGACTGTTTCATACCCCTAGACACTCCTCTTACGCTTCCCTTTAAGATCCCCCCAGGTTGCTCAGGGTCTTTCTCCAGCCATCCTTCATGGTGGGGGGGATGAAGGGCCCCAGCTAATGGGGTTAGCTCGTGAAATAACTTCAATTTAAAAGACTCTTTGCTATTTCATCCAAATGGGCCTCTTGGTGATTTTGGGGTTCAGAACTTGGGCACAACAAAAGATTGCAAGAGTCAGAAGGGATGGGTGACGCCAAGGAACAGTCTTCGAGACACAGCAGGACCGAAAATGCACACGAACTCGCAGAGACCATGGAAGCACGCGGAGGGCCTGCACCGGTTCCTGTCAGACTGGGTCTCGGTGCTGAGAGGAGGTGGGGGATGCAAACAAGATCTCCCTTTCTGAACCCAGACGCTGACTCCGGTTTGGGACTGCTTGAAAGGGAAACATTAGGCTTATATGATGGAATCCCGCTGGGTATACAGTTAAGCTGGGCCTTGGTGGCGCACACCTTTAATCCAGCACTAGGGAGGCAGAGGCAGGCGGATCTCTGTGAGTTCGAGGCCAGCCTGGTCTACAGAGTGAGTTCCAGGACAGCCTCTAAAACAATACAGAGAAACCCTGTCTCGAAAAAACAAAACAAAAAAACCAAACAAACCACAGTTAAGTGTAGGGCCTATGCCCGGCTGAGTTGGTCAGCACCAAACAAGCTTAATGTTGTTTTTCTAGGTGTGTGTGTGTGTGTGTGTGTGTGTGTGTGAGAGAGAGAGAGAGAGAGAGAGAGAGAGAGAGAGAGAGAGAGAGAGAGAGAGAGAGAGAGAGAGAGAGAGAGAGAGAGAGAGAGAGAGAGAGAGAGAGAGAGAGAGAGAGATTGCTTTGGGCATTTTTTAATGTCTTTTTAAATTTTTTTTAATATTTTATTTATTTATTACATATACAATCTTCTGCCTGCAGGCCAGCAGAGGGCATCAGAGCTCATTCAAGGTGGTTGTGAGCCACCATGTGGTTGCTGGGAATTGAACTCAGGACCTTTGGAAGAACAGTCAGTGCTCTTAACCGCTGAGCCATCTCTCCAGCCCCCCCCTTTTTTTTTTTTTTTTTTTTTTTTTTGGTTTTTCGAGACAGGGTTTCTCTGTGGCTTTTGGAGGCTGTCCTGGAACTCACTTGGTAGTCCAGGCTGGTCTCGAACTCACAGAGATCTGCCTGCCTCTGCCTCCCGAGTGCTGGGATTAAAGGCGTGCACCACCAACGCCCGGCCAGCCCCCCTTTTTTTAATTTTTAAATTTAAATTAGAAACAAAGTTGCTTCACATGTCAATCCTAGGTCCCTCTCCCTCCCCTCCTCCCATGCCCTCCCACCAACCCCTCCATCCCTGTCCCCCAATCCCCACTCCTTTCTCCAGGGAGGGTGAGGCTCTCCATGGGGGCTGTCCACAGTCTGTCATTTCATCCAGGGCAGGGCATTTTTTTTTAACCTTACTGATCCTTTGCCTGTGTACTACGGTTTCCAATCTTGTGTTTTTAGAGTTTTACTTTGTGTCTCTGTGTGTCTGTGTTTCTCATTCTTCTTCATTTTGGTTTGATTACTTTTTTTCATTTCCTGTTTTCTAAAGGGAAGAAGATGGCGTGGGGTCCAATGGATGGGAAGGATCTGGAAGGAGACGAGGGGGTGGAAACCACGATCACAATATATTGTACAGATTTTCAATTAAAACCATAATTACAACATCCTCCCTCCTGCCTCCAGTCTCTCTCATGTCCCCTTCCCCAGTGTCCCCAGACATGGGTTCTCAAATTCATAGCTTTTTCTTTATTACTGTTTCGTGTCTGTGTATGTGTGTGCAAATAAATATATCTACAATTTTGCGTTTAATTAATTAATGAGAGTATGTGTGTGTGGTGATACATTTCTTGCACAAATAAAGCCTGTCTGGGGGTCAGAGAATGGTACTTGCCACTAGCTAACCATAGAGGTCTGTACAGACAGAAAGGAAGTGACGTAGCTGGGCAGTAACAGGATATAAGCAGGGACAAGCAGGAAATCGCTCTCTTCTCTGATGAGATGTTTAGGAGGTAAGGTGTGCTGTGCCATGACTTGCTTCTTCTCTTTGATCTCTCAGCATTTCCCTCTGTATGTGACTCTGGCCTTTTATTATCTAGACCAATGTTTTTTTGTTGTTGTTGTTTTTTTTTTTTTTTTTGAGACAGGGTTTCTCTGTATTGTTTTGGAGACTGTCCTGGAACTCGCTAGGTAGACCAGGCTGGCCTTGAGCTCACGGAGATCCGCCTGCCTCTGCTTCCCAAGTGCTGGGATTAAAGGCGTGCGCCACCAATGCCCAGTTTATCTAGACCAGTTAAGAACTCCTTTTACATGTGTGTTCCTGAGTGTGCATGCCACTGTGCTTCTGTGGAGGCAGAGGGCAGCTTTCAGGAGTCTTCTTG